TATATATATATATATATATAATTTATTTATTTAAATCGATTAAATTCTACTTTTCGAATGTTTTCAAATTTGATTATTATTAAAGCATGTACTATATAAAATTCTCATAATACTTGTTCACAAAAATAATGTGATATATAAGCGCTATATGGGAGAAATTAAGAAACTTACTTGCTACGAGTGACCCTAAAGATAAGAATGGTATTTTAATTATCGGCCAATTTGGAAATATCTTAAGGCCCATAGCATATGTTATTACTTCTCGGTGGGTTATCTTTACAGATTTAGTAAAGCAAATATTTCTTTATCGGTTGTGTAGCATTTTTAAAGATTACGTGTAGATTTTTTAGTTTTCTATAGACTTGAATTGTTTCGTACTTTGTACTCAGGACTGTTATTTGCTAGTGCCTTCCTTTTTTTGTATGAATGTGAATATTAATAGTTAAGTTATTCAACCTTGTATTTAAAATTCAACAAAAAATGGCAAATTGTAGAATAATGGGAGCACTTATGCGTTTTTCACATAAAAACATTTATTTAACAAAATCAGGTAATTATGAAAATTGTAATCTCTTTTTTTTTTGTTTTTACTTTGGACTTAACAAATGAATAAATTAATAATAATTGTATTATTATTGTTACATATATTCATTTATATTCATTTCCACTTATCTCTATATATGTATCTGTATTTAAATAAATTAAATATATTCTTTAATATTTTTCTAGCAATATTACAACCTTTGAGGACACTTGCAAGTATGTCAGGCAAAAAGCATTTCAAATGTAAAGTTGTTGATGATGTAGCGGTTATTACTTTAGATTCTCCAGGAGCTAAGGTATATAACAATATACTTTATAATTTTTTAAATATCTATATAAAATATGAAAGGTATATTTAAAAAAAAATATAATTGTTAATATACTATAATTATTTATGACATGATCAATTTTATAATAATATTAATATTATAATTTCTTCATTTTAAATGTTTTAATAATAATTTAATAATCTTTCATAGGTGAACACATTAAATTCAGAAGTAATGGAAGAAATAGTTGGTGTTTTGAAAGATATAGAAAATAACGCTGCTGTCAGATCTGCTGTCTTAATAAGCGGAAAACCAGGTAATTTTATCGCAGGTGCAGATTTGACTATGTTACAAAAGTGCCAAAGTGAAAAAGATGGTTATGATATTGCAAAAACTGGCCAACAAATTTTAAATACTATAGCAGAAAGTAAAAAGCCTGTTGTAGCAGCTATTCAAGGAGGTTGTCTTGGTGGTGGTTTAGAGGTATATTTTAAGTTATTTTCTTTTTAATAAATAGAAGAAAGTATTAATTTGTTTTGAATTGTTATTGTATTAATTTATTTGTTATTTATATATAGGTTGCATTGGCATGTCATTATCGAATTGCTGTTAATGATACTAAAACTGGTCTAGGCTTACCAGAAGTAATGGTTGGCCTTCTTCCTGGTGCAGGAGGTACACAACGGTTACCTAAACTTATTTCAGTTCCAAATGTGCTTGATATGGTTCTTACTGGTAAAACTCTTAAAGCGAAGAAAGCTAAATCACTTGGATTAGTTGACATGCTGGTTAACAGTCTTGGTCCAGGTGTAGCATCACCAGAAGAAAAGTATGTCGAAAATGACCTGAAAGTCATAAAAGATATATGAACACATTTTTTAATACACATGATATAAAACAATATGAATGACTATATTTGTTTTTTAATACAGTACTTTACACTATTTGGAAGAAATTGCTATAAGAACTGCTAAAGATATAGTAAATGGAAATTTGAAAGTTGATCGTAATGCAAAGTCGATACAAGATAAAGTTCTAAATTATGCTCTAACTTTTGAATTCGTCAAAAATCAAATATTTAGTAGGGCAAGAGCACAAGTTATGAAAATGACAGGAGGACTTTATCCTGCTCCTTTAAAAATTTTAGAAGTAGTTCGTACTGGTTTAGATAAGGGACCAGTTGCTGGTTTTGAGGCAGAAGCTAAGGCTTTTGGTCAATTAGCTATTACCCCACAGTGTAAAGGTCTTACAAGTCTCTTTTTTGGGCAGACAGCTTGCAAAAGAAATCGTTTTGGAGTACCAAAGAATGCTGTCAAGTACGTTTTTATTTTATAAATCAATCTCTATGAATTTTGTATATTTCTGAAAATAATGTTTATTATATATACAGAAAGATATCCGTTATTGGTGCTGGTTTAATGGGTGCAGGTATTGCACAAGTAAGTATTGACAAAGGATATCATGTTGTTTTGAAAGATACTAATGAAGCTGGATTATACCGTGGAGTGGGTCAAATTCAGAAAGGTTTAGATAATGCTGTAAAAAGACATCGTTTTTCCAAGTATGTATGAACGTAAATAATATTTCATAATAAGAATTTCAAAATATAACTTATATATTTCAGAATACAAAGAGATAAATATTTAGCTAATCTTGAGCCCACGTTACAGTATGATTTATTAAAAAATACAGATCTAGTCATTGAAGCAGTATTTGAAGATATTGCTATTAAACATAAAGTCATCAAAGAAATTGAGGCCCATGCTCCAGAATATTGTATTATTGCAACAAATACATCTGCGATTCCTATAGCAAAGATTGCTGCTGGAAGTAGTCGTCCAGAAAAAGTATACTTATTATTATTATTATTATTAAATATTTAAATGCTTATATTTATTCAATATTTAAGTACAATTTTTTAGTACATTTATGATGTGTAGGTGATCGGTATGCATTACTTCTCACCAGTAGACAAGATGCAGTTATTGGAAATAATTACTCATAAGGGTACAGCAGATGAAACTATAAAAACAGCTGTAGAAGTTGGTTTAAAACAAGGCAAAACTGTTATCACGGTTGGAGATGGACCTGGTTTTTATACAACAAGAATACTCTCTGCCATGATATCAGAAGCGATTAGATTAATGCAGGTGAAAAAATATTATTTTAATAATTATATTAAAAATATATTAAAATGTATATTAATTATTAATAATATTTGGATATAGGAAGGTGTTGATCCTGCAGTTTTGGACAAATTAACCAAATCATTTGGATTTCCTGTAGGAGCAGCAACTTTATCTGATGAAGTTGGTATCGACGTTGGAGCACATATCAGTGTAGATTTAGGAAAAGCTTTGGGTGAACGTTTTTCAGGAGGAAACGTGAATATTATGTCAGATATGGTCAAGGCTGGTTTTCTTGGTAATTATTTATATTTGTTTATTGATACCTTATTGTTAATGTATCAACTTATCAATTCCTTTGATAATTAGGCCGCAAATCGGGCAAAGGAATATTCATATATGAAAAGAATACAAAGAATAAAGACGTTAATTTGGAAGCATTAAATATTTTGAAAAAATATGCAATTGAACCTAAAGGAAGTACTTCCTCTGAGGATCGTCAAATGAGAATGGTGTCTAGATTTGTCAACGAAGCGGTACTTTGCTTAGAAGAAAATATCTTAGCAAATCCTGTAAGTAATTTTAATTATGTATGAGAGTGTACACAGTACACAGTATACAGTAACACATAATTTGAATCATTTTTAGTTGGAAGGTGATGTTGGAGCTGTATTTGGATTAGGTTTTCCACCGTTTACTGGTGGACCATTCAGATGGGTAGATTCATATGGGGCGCACAGATTGGTAAAAGTTATGGAAGAATTTCAAAGTCACTATGGCGTTGCTTTTAAACCGTGCCAATTGTTATACGATATGGCATCTGATTCAACGAAAAAGTTTTATAAATAACAGAAATGTCCAGTACTTTAAACATTTATTTAAAAGAAAGTATATGTGCATTTATTTTATAAATAAGCATTATCCTATGGTAAACTATGAGATTTTCAATATTTTTTTTAACATAGTTTCTGTCTGATTTTAAAACAATGCAATTTATACTGTTATATAGTTTATAAGATCTTTTCTAATTTTTATATATTATGAGTGTTATATCTATATATGTATAAATATATATATATACCATAATGTATAATAAGCTTATTTTTGCAGAAATTTGATAAAATATATACATATGTGTACGTTGAAAATAAATACATTATGAAAGATGTTATTACCATTTAAGAATGTGATTATATTAAATGCATTCACTACCAGTATCCTATAAATATTCTATGCTTGTGCAAATGCGATTCAATTATTAATCACCTGAATAGCAATATCAATAAACCTGTTTTGTGTATATTTTTTACATGTTTAATATGAATATACATAGGTAAAGACGGAAATATAATTTGATGCAACATCTGAAGAGTATTGCACTTATGTTTTGTTTGCATAATTAAGTGCGTATTGTTAAAGAAAAAAAAATGATAGTTTATTTATATTATAGAAGAGCCAATTGTTTTCTTTTTTTTTAAGTTATTCATTCCTTGAATAAATGTTATAATTTTAGATGCTAATTTGTATATGTATTACAGAATATAATGCGATATTCAATTTCAATACCTTCGTCAAGTGATTACGTTAACTTATGCATGTGCTTCCCCCAGACTTATAAAAAAATCTGTTAATTCCACGAACAGCAGTTGTTTACTACTTACATATAGATTATTTTTCGTTACAATTAACAATTATAAAAAGAAAAAAAGAAATATCCTAACATTAAAAAAAAAAAAAAAAAAAAAAAAAAAAAAGAAAATATATGTACAGGTAATCGGTAAGATATTTTGCATCATCTACAAGTTTCCTGTGCCTGTTTATAATATATATGACGTTAAAAGAGACCAAGTCCTTGGCTGATGCAAGAAAGCACGAGATTTCATGATCTACCTTTGATAAGATTTCTCTCGTTTGACCGGTAAATTACCACCCTATATTAATAAATTAAAGAAAATCAAGAATAAAATATAGATTTAACGACTATCAAAGATTCCGAAGTCTAAAATTTATCGGTTCTCTTTTATCGTAATGTTGCTCTCCAAGCTTTTACAAAAAGATAAGAGATCTGTAATTATCAATGACAAAGTATATAATTTACAGGTATATACAATTAATTAACTTTGAAAGGCAATAACATTAATATAAGTACTATGATTATTTATCGTTTGAAAATATTCCTAAGTATCGAAAGCATCGAAATGAAGAAAATAATTAAAGAAAATTTGTACAAAAAATCTAACATGAAGTTTATGAAAATATGATATGATCAATAGATTTAGCACGTATTCATATTTGTTATCACACCATCGAATGATAACATTCTATTGACATTGTTTAAAGTCTGGAGTCATAAATGATTAAGGAACTATAGTGGGGAAATAACTGTGATGATCGCGTATCAATGAAAAAATGTTGACTTTCGTACTACCGTATGTTTATATTTGCGATTAAATGCTATTAATAATATTATACTGTTATTCCAAATATTCATAATTGAATTTGACTAATATTACGTATTATGTAATATTATCGAACGATTTTATCAGCGTTATTTATTAATATGCACAAATATATACGCAACATCTTATCGTGAGCTTACAGTATGATAACGAAGATACTTTTATATTTGTTCATATTTATAATGAGTTTATTTTTAATAATAAAATAAAATAATAACACACAAATAAATACATGTGTATAAACATATGTGTGTGTGTATATATATATATATATATAAAGAGAAAGTTTCTATTTGAAATATTAAATTAATTTGAAACTTGTTTCACGTGCATGTAATATATTTACATTTTTAAAGGTATCGAGTTGTAAAAGAGAACGATTGTATAATTTCGTACTAGTTTAATTTGGTCATTTTTTGGAATACATTTTAGATTAAAACCATATGGATATTAAATCGAGGGTGACCTGATATCTTGAAAAATACCTAACCATTCCCACGCATTAAAATCTTCGATCGTTCACATAATGCGTGATGGAAACTTTTCGTGATCAATACAAAATAAAAGAAAATCATCTTTATACAGTGAATTTTTTTCAAGAATTATCACTGAGAGAATGGCATAAATATACTTAGCATACTTTCTATTCAAGATACATACATCTAATATATATTAGATATTTATTATATGCAATGTAAATATACGGTGAGGCGATCTCTTTTATGGGTTTTTCTTTTGTTGTTTTTATGCTACTGGAATTGTAAAAATATTGGATTGTCTGAAAAATTTAAAACAATTTTTAATCAAATAAAATATATCGTTATAACATTTTTATCAAAAAAAAAAAAAAAATAAGAAAGAAGACAATAATCTATTGAATGGGAAAAAAATAGGATAAAGAGGTGTGAAAAGAAAGATGTCAACAACATTAATTATGAAAGTATAGAAGTTATTTAATTCATTTACATTTGTGTATAAAAATTCTTTATCTGTACATTAAAGAAGTCTTATGTTGTTGCAAGGGAAATCATATTTTCACCTTCTCTTTGAACAATAATATATAATCTATGTATAACTGTAATGTCTATGGACGATCTCATTCGAGGATCGTTAACAAAGTTGTAATATTAGAATAGCTCCTTAACATGAATTGTTTAAATCGTTTGTCTCCTTTAAATAAATACTCTTTATTTCACGATCAGTCAAAGACGAACGATCACAGATCACAGACACACTTAGGTACTTGGTTCAATCCTTCCCACCCCTCCTTTCTCTCTTTATCTTTTTCCGACTTTTATCATTAAGTACATCTTCTCATATTATAATTCTTTCATAAATGAAAGATTCTTAGTAGAAGCATCACAGGAAGATTAATCCGTCCAGAATTAAAAAGATATCCAAAAGGTTACCGTTACCTGTAAACAGCTTCTATCCGGGGGTACAAGAAGGAAACGAATTTCCGGTGTTCCTTTTTTCCCCTCTTGATTGTTTTACTTGAAAAAAGTATTTCAATAAAATATCAATCTTGCTTGCGATCAAGCTGCAAGTTGTGGTGGTAGAATTTGATGAATCGGTGGTGTTATCCTTGGCGCGATAACAGGCAAGATACTAAGCCTGACACCAGATGCCGTTTGCATTTGATTACTACCATTGCTTTTTGAAGATGAGGAGGAAGTCCTTTCTCTGGTATGACGTTTCACGTGTTTGGCCAAATGATCGCTCCTCATAAATCTTCTTTGACAAATCGTGCAAGCAAATTTCTTTTCTCCTGTATGAGTTCTTTTGTGCCTGGAAAGTTCATCGCTGCGCGAAAAACGTCTGTTGCAGTCCTCGTATGGACAGGGAAAGGGTCGTTCTCCGGTATGCGTACGCGTGTGAGCTTTTAAATGAGAAGACTTAAAATAATTTTTTCCGCATCCGGGATGTTCACATTCGTAGACACGTCTTCGTGCGGCTGACTCATTGCATTGAACGTTTCCTTTTGTTCCAACATTATTCATTCGGCCTGGTGTACTCGCTGTGACCAATAATAATGGAGTCTGTGGTAGGACCAGTGATGATCCTAAAATTCTTGTTACCACAATCGGTGCTGGTTTAGGTGCAAGCGGTTGCAACTTAGCTTGACTTATTTCACGATCTGTATTTTTACTATTCACAATAATCTCTTCTTTTTTTAAACTCATTTTGAATTTGAGACTTTTCAAGACGTTCTCTTCCAAGCTACCGCTCGAACGCACGTCCGAGTTCTTACTGTTGCTTTCAACAGTACGCTGTCTTGTTGTATTCGGCACCCACTCGGACGGACACGAATCAGTCAGTTTTGTAGGTATACTGGCTGGACTACAAGTTCCGTCACGATTGGCGCGCATTATGACTGATACTCGAGTTGCCTCGGGACTGGGCGGTGGTGTTCCATAAAGGAGTAACTAAAAGTAAGAATAACAAGCTTATCTTAAAGAAAATCATTTCTTTGTATATATTCAAAGTTCAAATGAACTCTTGAAAGTCAACAGATAACATTGTTGTATTTATTTATATTTATTTACCTTTGCCAATTCACATTGTTCAACGTAACGTCGTTTCCGTGGAGGCTCGTCTTCCTCCGAATCGGAAGGTTGGGGAGTAAGCGGCAAATTTGGTTGCTGGTTTTCATGGTTGAGCTTTGTCGCATTTGCTTCGGTTGCCATAGTCGTCGCCTGCTCTGCCGCCTTCGCCACCTCCGCCTTTGCGGTCATCGTCGTCTTTTGCAATAGCTTGTCTCCTAACAAAGCTGCGACACTGAATGATGACTGTAGTGGCTCGATCTGTAAGAGTAAATAAGAATATCAGTTATCATTTTTCATGAGTTATTTCGAGAAAATATTCTTCTATTTATCGACGAAGAGAAAAATGATAAACAAAATTTGTATTTGTATTTTGTACTCCAGTTTTTTTCTGTATAGTAAAAAGAAAGAAATATTCAGATATCTTAAATATTTTTTTCATGAACGACATTGTTGTTAGCAAAACAATTCAAGTTTGAAAGAGAGATAATCAAACGTAGAATAAAAATATAAAATTCAATCGAAATACATGGGAGTTAATAAAAATATCATGGAGAAGGAATAAATATAAATAAATGAAATTAGTTTTAGTACAATTCGACATCGTAGTAATGAAAATTTCTATTATTACGCAGCACCAAAAATGTATCACAGAAACGACACGTTCATATTTCGCGGGTGTCGGTCGACAGATTATACGCGGTATATTTAATTTTGCTTAGACTTACGTGCTTGAATTGGGGCGAAGCTGGTGGAGATAATAAAGTTGGATTTGTGTCCATTTTTTCGTAGTTTCAATTATAATAAAGTTCAAAATTTACGTTAAGCTTCTTCTTGAACGCACCAATGTTTTCTCTTTTACGGAAACGCAATGGGATTACGTCGTGCAAATCGAAGTAGAAACTCGATCTAACGGACGTCTGGTAGCGTAATGAAGCTTTCTCAGGTCGGCAGTCTCGACGTGCGCCCAGTTAGTTGCGTCTGATCATGTGGCCGTGTAGTTTGTTAGCCAATAATGTGGAGGGGCTCGCCGTACTCAACCAATCCTGTAGGACAAGATCAGCCGTTCAACGCGTGATCACAGGCGTGTTGTTCACGTGTTCGCGACCTGACTGAGGCCGTGATCATGACGTCACACTGCGTGCGAGCACGTTCGATACGTCATGTCGTCACAACGCGCCCCGAATGTCCAACACTTCAAGCGTCCTGTAACTTCGACCCTCTTCCTACTCCTCCCTCTTATTTATTCATGCAAATTCACTCACGCACTTGCACACACCCACATGTTCCCTCTCTCTCTCTCTCTCATTTTTTTGCTTCGATTTTCTTATATTTACATTTCTTCTCTTACGATCATCTTGTTGTGTAGCAAACGAGATCTACGGCGAGCCTCCAAATTGTCAACGGCACCGATTCTTACCTCACATCCTATTTATTTATTTTATATACATGTAGCTATATTTTTATTCAGGCTTTGAAAACTAACAATAAGTTTACTTATTATCTTATTCTATATATTGAATGCTTTTTTATTTATCTTATTGTGCAATAAGAGAGTGTTAAATAGAATTGTTGTAGTTGTTTCGATCTCAATTTCTGATAAGAGGAGAACCGTTCATATCGCAAATGTTTCTTTACTCTCACGCAAATATGATTTTATTTGTACGAGATTTCAGTCTAATCTGATAATATCTGAAAAGTAATAAATTCTTGAAAATATATGATTAATATTTTTAAAATTTACTTTTATCTTTGTCATAAATATTAACATAGAATGATTTTTCAGAGAAATGTTTTTTTCCCCGACTAATATATTCTAAATAGATGACAATACAAGTTATAGATTATAATAAACACGTATAAGCTATTTTTAGAAATATTACTATTTTTATTTTATTAGTGAGTTATAAAGATATAACTGGAGTAAATACTTTATCAGTTTTAAAGCATATGGTAAAGAACTATATTTACCAATGCAACGTCAAATCCCATTCGAACGATCCAAATTTATGCGTCGATGATAAATAAGAAAACTAGTTTATCGACTGACGAACCTATAATATATTTATATACAACAATCATTTTTGTTATGTTTATTTTCTTCAACAAAAGATTATTTGAAATATTTGTTTGTATATACAGGGGTAAAATTTATTGATTATTTTATATTGATTATGTTTCGATTTCTCCTATGTATATCTGTTTGTCACTTGATCCAGAGCACACTGAAATGTATAATAATTTATTTAACATAATCCTATTTATCATTAAACTTGTATTTAAGAGTTATGGTCAAACAGTATATTACCTATTGGCTCCTTTGGATGAAAATCAACATCATTAACAGAACCATTATGTCCAGGTAATTTATATAATATTCTACGGCTAGTCGTATCCCAAATGTATTGAAATCTGTCTGATGAACCAGCTGATACTTTACTACCATCTGGAGACCATGCACATCTCTGAAGATTCTGTAATTCAATATTGTAATTAAGCACATTTTATTATTCTATTAACTATATATACACTCTAATTATACTTTCAATGTTATACCTTCTCAAAATTATGTTGATGACCAGAAAGAATTTTCACGCAACGTTCATATGGAGCAAAAGGTCTTACATCCCATATTCTTAATGTATTATCCATAGCATTTGATAAAATATATGAACCATCAGGGCTAAGACTTAAGCCAGTAATAGTCTCGGAATGACCTTTTAATTTATAAAGAATTGCATTTTTTCTCAAATCCCATACTTTGATATCATTGTCAATACCACCGCTTATTACTTGTTCTGCTGTATCATTAAATGTGACTGAAGTTACCTAATGTAAAATAAGTTTTACAAATCAGTATCAGTCAATGATGATTGATGTGGCATTAAATGTGTTAAATAATACTGAATAGGTTCTAATAAACAATACCTGATATGTATTGTTTAACGTATAACATTGTCCTCTTTTTCTTGGATCCCAAACACGTATTGTGCTATCATCACTACCTGAGCACAATTGTGTAGGTCCTCTTCTAGCTCCAGCAACAGAATTGACAAAAGAAGTGTGTCCCTTTAATTTTTTTATTCTTGTGCCTACCACTATATCCCATAAACCTAAAGTCATATCGGTACTAGCTGTATACAAATTGCTTCCATCAGGACTAAAATGCAATTCCATTACAGCTCCACTATGACCAGTCATTGTAGAAATGTTTTCACATTCTCCATAAACATTCCAAATAACTGTAACATGAAGAAAAATATAGTAATAATAAATACATCCTAATATTTATACATAACAATAACAAAAAAAAAAAATATAGGGTGCATATACGAAACTTATTAAAATAAAGGTGTCATTTAAATTTGTTTTTGTTATTATATGATCTTAAAATTACAATAAAGTTATAATTGATATTAATGTAATATAATTTGTGGTATATTTACAGATTTGTCGATCAAATCCAGTCGATGCAAGATACTGGCCCTCTGGATGAAATTCAAGGGAAAATATATCACCTTGATGTCCTTCCAGGAGCATGATAGGAGCCATTAATGATGATGTTCGTGGTGGACCCTTAAAATTGTATAACAAGGTATATAATCAAATATTAAATAAATGTTTTAGTAAATCAATTAAGAAAACATTAGAATAATAGATACTAAAGGTAAACTTACACTTTGTACAACTGCTTTTTCTCTACTACTGAAGACGACTTCATTTTTTGTTCTTTTTGAAGCAGGAACCAACGCTAAGATATCGTCTCCTTTTCGTTTATCCAAAATAGGCATTTTGATTTTTTATATGCGTTCTTTTGATAAATAGTTACGTTAGTTTTATTAAAGCTCTGTTACAGCATCAATTAGCGTCTTTAATTAATACTTTCTTAACTTTTTTTTGCGTTGTTAAGGTTAATAACTCTAAAACACTGCCAATAATCGTGAGTCGATTATTTTGCATAGTAATGTCGATAGGTGGCATTAGGATAGGCAATCGTCGCGCTATCTACTGTTAGAAATTAACACTTTTTTGTCTATCATGAACCCATATAGTTTTAGAACCAGTGGTCAACATACTGCATGTACATAATTTACCATATTCCAAATTCGTTCAATCAATCCAAAGAATATAATAGTAGATCTTTAGAAGTGCATTTTTCATGTAAACAATTCATCTTAGTTAGAACGGAAACCACCAGAGGGCGTTAGTAAGTAGAATACTGTAGGGATCCTATCATTGTGTACAATACCCGCCCACTGGTGGTCTCGGTAGTAACTAAGATGAATTGGTTACACGAAAAGTGCACTTCTAATGTTCTACTATATTATATATTCTTTGATCCTTAGGTAAGTGTAATGTAAAGAAAGTTTAGTATCAGTTGAGCAGGAATTGTATAGTAGAAAGTAGTTGCAGTAAGAAGAGTTGAAATAAATGCAATTTTATCAAAGACTTTTTTCTCTCGTGGCGCATTTCTTTAGCACAGAAAATTTTCTGTTATATATGGTAAGTGTAGAAAATATTAATACAACAGGACGCAATTCCTATAAAGAATATCTTATCATACACACAATTTAGTAGTTTAAATGGTAATTGTATTGTTGATAAATATATCACATTATTATTTCGTATCATGATGAATATCGTTGGTATGGAAACACATACAAAATAAATCTTTAAAGATGAATCACGGGTTACTGCTTAATACTCTTTAACATATTAATTAAAACCAATTATTTTGTTTTTGTTTTCGGCATGATCGAACGATCAAAGGGATTTACACAATTTATTTATTACTTACATTAGAGATGTTCTGCGATGGCTCCAAAACACACCTACTTTATTGCAGTCGTAGTAGTTTTGCAAGAAAGCTCGTTGATATTTTCTTTTTAGAAAGAAAACAGGAATTATCGCGATTATTGTGTCAATGATTTTATTTCATAATTAATTTGAATTTATTTATTATTTGTACAAGCACTGACTTCACTAACTGCATTGTTGGAAATTACAAAAGCACAGAAACACTCCCCCAATGGTCATTGATTCTAAATTGGGATCAAGTTGATTTTAATTAGTTAAAATAATAGTTCACACTATTCACTATATTCACACTTGCACAATGAAACAACAAATTCCTTCAATCACAAAACACTATCGAGATTGTATTAAGTGTATTCAAACGTTTTTATACAAAAGTTCAATAAAATTTAATCGAGTATGTTCTTTCAGATAAATTTAATCAATTATATTACGAAAATAATTCAAAACCCAAAGAGATAGAATAAAGTATGCTTGTTATATAACACTAAAGTTATAATTATTATTGTAAATGTATGAAATTAGATTAGTTAATACTCTTAGATACTTAGATAATACTCAACGTAAATAACAAATAAATAACCGATTTATACAAATGTGATAAATGTGGCATTTGTACAATAATGATTTAATGTACGATAAGTCGACAAAATTATTTAAAAGATTAGAAATGTTTTATATTATATACAAAAGAAATTTCTCAAACTTTGTAACTGATGGAATAAGCATTGGACAAATACTGTCGGTTTGAAACAATCTAGCAAATGCTTACACAATTTCAAGCTTGAATATAAAAAAGTATTTCCTTTCATTTTCATTAATCTTATCGGTTTCCAAATGTTGATACATCCATTCCCAAAGTAGAACATTTGTTTGTTATCTAATTGTTAAACTACTTACCTGATATATCCTTGTCAGACAAGGAGAATTGCTAATAACCGTAATTGACTTTTTCGTGCTTAGCATAGGCACCGTAATCGTAAATATATTTATATTTTATACAATAAAATAAAAATAAGAATTCATTTGAATAAAAAATGACAAAAGTAGAAATTTGTAAATCCAAGATTTAACATTTTTTAATTAAAAACAAATTAATTTTATTTCTTTTATAATTTACATTAAACTCTTGTAGAATTTTCTTTTCTTTAGAAATCAATTAGCAAATATTTTAATGGATAAAATTTATGATAAGTGAGAATATTTCCAATTATAATAAGTCCTTTATTATTTTGTTTTATGAGTTGTTTGGAATGAATTTTCTGTTTTGGTTTATTATTATTATAAATTCGAAATTTAGAACTAATGATTAATAATATCTCTTTTTGATAGAGATTACATAAGAAGGCAGTTCATAAAAATATGTACGTTTATTGAATATATAAAATATTTTATTATTGACTATAGTTTGTAAGTTTTATGTTGCGCAATAACGAATATTAAAAAGGTTAAATTTCTTAGGTTTCTCTCAACTCATCGATAGAATTATTAAATACTTATATAATACTTTATATATGTATTTGACATGCATTAAATTCACTCATACGGTTAATTTCGGCAAGAGAATGAAACAAAAGGAAAACGTCAAGTCATTGCTTATAAAATAACAGATAATGGATTTTACGCTTTATTCACGATGTGACGTACAATTATAAATACACATTACTTTCAACAAATAATTTTCCACTTCGCTAACTTATTGATACCACTTGTGCACGATATTTCGTAAATAAGAAGAAAAGTACGAAAATACGAAGCTAGGGCGGTTATCAAGCTAAAAGCGAGATTAACACACGACTTCGATGAGATCGGAATGGTTTTAACTAGATGTTATGTGTTAAAACTTTTCTATAGTCCCATACTATATACTATACGAGAGCTTTTTAGTTTATGTGTGTGTGTGTGTGTGTGTTTTTCTTTTAAAACTTTCTTAGCTATAGGGGAATTTCGAGTCAACCGGAGAATTGCTTTCAAATATGCACGAGGATTTTTCCGGTGACATTTTTTCCCTGCTTGTATTTAATGTTCGCGTTCAATCGTTGGAAAATCGCGCGTCTCGATGTAAAATCGAGCAAATTTCAGTCCTATGTTCATTTCTTTACGGCAAAACCGTCACCGGTTGGATCGAGTAACCATGGATAATTGTTAGGACATTCCATGCAGGTGAAAAGACGCAGAGTCTCGCCTGGAAGTTCTCTGGTTGTTAGTGGACAAGCATTTGGCAAGGAACAGTAGGGTTGACCCTTCTCGTCACAAGTCTCCTTCCAATCTTGGAAATCTCTCAATGCTGAGAGTTCGGTCGGTGTTTGCATCCATTTGATGACCTTAATATAAAAAAAAAAAAAAAAAAAACAATTCGTTAACAATAAATTAAAAAGACATTATATTTTATACATTTGCTTCTGTAAATGAAGTTCATATCTTACCTGAACCATGGTAACAAAGTAAACGTCACTTCTAGCAAGCATTTCTTCGATGAATTTGATCAATTCTTCTTTGTATTCTTTCTTACTCTTTAACCACGAGGCATGGAAATGTAAACCGAGTGGTGCTCTGTTGGTGTTAAAGTGTCTGTTAAAGTTGTGCCTGAGTAATCTGCCGAATTGTTCACCAGTTTGAATATTGGAACAGGAATCAACCATATGACAACCAGGTAGAGATTCATCGAAAGTTGGATCGTCTCTACGATCGAGTTCGTTCATGACCATTTCCCAGACCGGATGTGACCTCGACGGACAGTTTCCACCATTTCCGTTACATTTGTGAGGCATACGGAAATAAAGAGTATATGGCCAGATTGGAACACGTCCTAGGGATGCTGTGATGGAGGCATCGTAAACGAAAAATTGATCAGCCATCATGTCAAATTGCGTGTTGCCACCTACTCTGAGGTATGGAGCCCTCATACCAATGATGGACCCATCAGTAATGTTAGCAAAACGTTCGATGATAAGTCTGGCTCCGGCCATCTCGGCCAACCAGTCGTCGTAGGTACCTTGGGTCCAATATTGGGGATCGTCTTTATGAGTTAGAGAGAAAACTGCGATCTCATGACCACGTCGATGGAGATCTTGAACGGCAGAGTAGTTTGTATACTTGTGAGAAACAAAGAAGGTACCACGTATTTGGCAACCATTAGGATTTTGTCGTTGACCATTGAAAACTTCTTCGTAAAGATCGATATTATCGACGTTTACTGCTCCATTGAATGTAATTGTTATCATTTGTGGAACCTGTTGAGGCTCGATGTTACCAGGAATACGAGTACCATCAGCTGAACAGTAACAGTCTGGTAAAACGCATTGTGTTGGATCACAGTCTGGCGCACGGTTTGGATCTGTTTCGACGGCTGAAATGAATAATTACAATATGATCAATTTCTTTTTACAATTTGTTTCATAATTAAGATTTTTGTAAAATTATTTTTACTTACTACATGCATTTTCATCAGATTCGTCTTTACAATCAGGCTTGCCATTACAGAAAAGCTCCTTGTCGATACATTCTTTATTTCCGCATGACAACTTTCCATCGGGGCAAACTGGTTCGTCGGTTTTTAAGATGGGTAAGACCTTACGTGGTTCTGCAAATGTAACTCTCGATTAATGATGCCTTCAAAAAGGAACTCAATAGTCCAATCTACGGCGGTAGGCTTTCGAATTAGGTCACCAGTGTATATAATCGTTGTAAGAAGTGTGTAATCAAGGCCCAATACTACTCGTACTCCCAATTTTATATTTACACGCATCAACGCTTCGATGTTGACCGGCGGCGATAGGCGATAGGATACTTTTTTTCTTAAAATATTTATTTTTTTTTTTTTTTAATTTTTTTTTTTCTTATCTGCATTCTTACGAAGCTTAAATATATCGTGCTAAAATTAATTCTAACCCATTTCCAAAGCTTTTCATTTTTATAACCGATAACAACTTTCTACAACACACTTTTCATTTATTTTATCAAAATATATAATTATCCGATATATATATATTTATATTTATATTTATAATTAAAGGGAACGTTGCAGGTTGTGATGGCAGTATTAGCAGCAGCAGCAGTAGTAATACTAACTTTACTTGTTTGTATATATATTTATATATATTTACATAGGATTTGGTATTTTTTCTTATTTGGGAGATTCATTTGAACAAATTTCACATGTTTCTATTATTTTTACTCATTAGTCTCATTAGTCCTTCAAATAAAATCCTAATTATATATATAAAGAGAGAGGAGGAGAGCCTTGACTTTCAGTCTCGTTTTGTATTCTCGTCATATAGTCTGTATTTTTTTTTTTTTTTTTTTTTTCAAAAGTCTTAAGTATTTATTTTTCACTCGAGAGGAAGGTGGTCGTGACTCGAGTGCTGTGTCGGCTCACGACGACGCACGCAAGCTTCTTGACTATTATTTGAATTTTGCATGCCCATGAAAGAGGTCGTGGAAAAAAAAAAAAAATGAAAAAGAAACGAAAGAAGATATAAAGTAAATGGATAAGAAAATAAAGGTAGATAGATAGTGTGTGTATGTGAGAGAGAGAGAGAGAGAGAGAGAGAACGATGTGTTAATCACGTATTCTCACGCATTCAACTTATGAATGAAAGAAGAAGCTTTCGTATGCAATGTTTGATATGCAGTCTTCGTTAACCATACACGTTACTTTCTTCTTATTTTTTTTTTTTTTTTATCTTTTCAGTACTTCTCTTTTGTTTAAAGATTTAAAAAAAAAATAATATTGCGTATGTTTAATCTGACGAAATGTATGTAACTCAAAACAGTCATTTCTCGTTATTTGTTGAGTTGAGATTCTTAAAACGTTGCACGAATAATGAAATTGCAAATAAAGAGACTGGATGGTTAAAAAAGGTTTAGAAGATGAAAATTTTGTTAATTTGGAAATATAAGATATGAAAATATGAAATATATAATATAAATAAATATAAATAAATATGTAAATATTAACGATAATTGAATAATTACATTTTATTCGTGTCACAGATGAATAAACTTTAATATTACAAATTGAATAAGAAATGTAACAGTATAATTATCATTACAACTGTAGATAAATAGTATGAAAGAACAATTAATGATAAAATTGTATTATAGAATTGTTTGTATTTTTATCTCTATCTAATTTTTCGAATTATTCATAAAAGATTTAATAAATTTCAACTTTTGTTTTGTTTTTTTTTTTTTTTCATAAGAGAATAATTCGATCTAATTAATTGTATCGCTAATACGAACATTTTCAATTAATTATTTTCGATAAATTTTCGTATCAAATTTGAAACTGTGGATATATATATATATATATAAACAACAACAAAAAAATAAAATTCACGAATAACGAAGAATAACTGTATTTCAAGTTACATTAGGACAAATTAATTTGAAGCAATAACGTGTGTGCGAGAGTGAAAAAAAAAAAAAAAGAGAAGAAAAAAGACAAAGAAATAGATAAATGCTAAAAAACAAATGTAGAATTATTTGTTGATAAAATGATCGATTAGATTAGATGTATTCGAAAGAGGAGTTTCGATGAAGTAAAAGCTAATTCAAGGCGTCTGAGTACGAGATCTCTTATAAGGAGGCCAAATCGTCGGAGCGAAACCGATCTGGATGTCAGGAAATAGTGTTGGAGAGTGAGAAAAAGAGAATATATAGAAAGAAAGAGAGAGAAAGAGAGAAAGAGAGAGTGAGTGAGAGAGTTGGATAGAACGTTGAACAAGTGCGTGCTACCTCGTACCTGGAGCGATCATGAGGAGAAAGGAGCGTTTGTGTGCGCCGTTCGACGTTAGAAAATCATTGCGTGCCACTCTGCTAATTTAGATCATTCGCCGTGAAATCACGACGAAATTGTACAGATTAAAGTCCAAAGAGAATAATCGACGAAAGATTCTCGTCGTTTGACTTTTCGTTCCGTCTTTAGTAGTAGTAGTAGTAGTAGTAGTAGTAGTAGTAGTAGTAGTGCCACGCAATTGCGTTGTTGTTGAGTAATTTCTTTTTTTTGTTGTTGTAAATCTAATTTTTTTTTTCTGTGACGACAAGCTAATATGTTAGTTATGGTACAAATGATTTTGTGATGATCATATGCTGTCGTACTGATTAGTCGTATCAAGCATGATTAAAAGTATATAAGATTGATATGAAAGATATAGAAAAATAGTATTATGATATTTAGAGTATATGTTATTTATGATGTAATATTTATTTACTTTTTGCTTGTGTTTCATTATTTTTTTTTTTTTGAGAATCTCCTGCGATCTTTTATTTGCTCTAATTATTCTATTTTATCATTATGACGAGAATGTTTTGTATTAATATTTATTATTATTATTATTATTATTATTATTATTATTATCCTTGTTGTAAGTAAATTAAAGGATTTATTATAGAAAATTTGTTTAGAGCTATGGAAAGATCGTTGATCATTCTCGAAAGATTCGAGCATTATATAGTGCGTTAGTGCTAGTAATCTTTCAGTGCGTGCTACGTCATGAGTCTACGAAGAGACCGGAGCTTTCTAGGTTCTTCTGATTCTCTCTTGCGTTCCTTTCATTGACTTACGCAAGAGAGGTTAACGATTCCATCATGGGTATGTATTGCAACAATATTTTAATTCTATCCTTCTTAGAAATAGTTATTTCATGAAATATTTAAATAGATTATCGAATTTTTCGAATAAAACCTAATGTTTTTACTTTGAGTCAAATAAAAGATAAAGACATTTGAACACGATGCATCGTTGATGAAGAACCATAAAACAAAATGAAATCGCTCCGATTCTCACCACCCGATTCTACGACTTACTCTCGAGCTTGTCACAGTTGGTGACTTTGCCCTTCCAGTCACAGGTCTGTTTGTCCAAGTCAAAGGCCAACCCACTGGGACACGTGATTTGCTTCAGCCCGGACCTTGTACACCTGGTAAACGCAGAAAAGGGAATCGTTTCAGTCTAAGAGGGGAAATAAATGAAATTTCGCTTACTCTCCAGCTGTTCGCAGTTCTTGACATTTGTCTTCCAGTCGCAGGTTTGTCGTTCAATGTCGAAAGCGAGACCGGTCGGACATCGTACTGTTGCCAACCTGGTAACGCCGATTTCACTGGCTTTGTCGCACCTGCGATTATTTTTACCCATATCTTATTTTAATATTAATTCTTCTTTATTTAAGTAACATGTAAATCATCAATTGCAGTGATCTAAACCTGATAAAAATACTTTTCTTCCTTCGACAATTTCAAATTAGATATTTTATTTCTTGCCTTTCTACATTTAATGGGATCTAGAGTCCTTGAGAATGTAACTCCCTTGTCTCTTAAAGATCGAATGACTCAAAGAAAACCACTCGGTATTAGAAACTCGAGAGAGATGTTTTATTTTATATTATGTATCTATATATGTATATTATATATTATATTAGTAATTATGATAATACAATTATACAATCAGTCAAAAATACAAATAAAATGTATATTTTATGATTTATTTTATTAGTTGACTTATGTCATTGTGATAATTTATATAATGTAATCATTTAATTATACAACGTTCTTAGAAACTTTGTTTATTCCGTATTACGGTGAATTCTTATAATTAGAATTCGTTATACGATGGAGCAATCCGGGGTGCATGCAACATCATTTTTAGAAAGCTCATTCAAAGAGATTGCATGCAGTATAATTGCAAATTTTAAATAGCATCTGACGGTCTCTCTGTCTTCTTAATTACTCGAAAACATTTTTCATATTAAACTGTTGCGTAGATGATATGAATTTTCTAATAATTAGTCAAACGTTTTTATTTTCAATAGAATATCTAAACCGGATACTAAACGTTTAACGTAAGTGAAAATGAAAGTGAATAAAACTGTTATTTTAGTTTATTTGACGAGTCGTGGTATTACGTAAGTTTACTGGTCTGTAGCTTCCGATTTTAGATGCCGATCGATAAATCACACACGTTTAACAGAAGTTAATGTTATTAGCAAGAGTAAAATAATCACGTATAAAATATTATCTTAGTTAAAATACTTTCTATTAGAAATAACTCGTTAATGTTACATAATTGAATCATTAATTTAACCAAGATTTATGTGTTACTTGAAAATATTCAAACGTGTTTACTTTCTCGAAAGTTATAGTCAGTCGTAAAACTTTCTTTAACTCGATCCGATTTTAATTAATCTGATTTTTCAAATGTTTACAAAATATTAAACGTTTAACGCACAAAAATAAATTAATTACTCGTCAAATTAATGATTAATACATAAAGATGAAATAATTGAAAAAAAAAAAAAATAATTATCAACCTACCTGACGACATCGCGACAATCTCCTCCAACGTTTAACCGGAAATATTCGTCACCCGGTCTATCATGGCAAAGTTCTTCGGCATTTGCATCGAGTTCATCGGCTCCTTCATCATCTTGTGCTCTTACTTGTTCTCCTGTAAGTAAATAAATCCTCTTTTAACAAATTATTTATTATTTTATAAATAAATTAGTAATGTTTTTTTTCTTCTTTATAAATAACACAAAAACGAAATTACGGTCTTTTAAAATTGATTGAAATAAATCAATAATAATTATACGAGTTTTATTATAAATTAAAGGTAAATTTGATTGAACTGTAATAATAAGATTTTCATTTATAATTTTAATATTTACAGGAGAAGTAATTTTATTACAATTAACATTTAAGTTGTATTTAATGTTTCCTTTGTTTTTTTGTCTTTTTTTTTTTTTTTTAGATTCTTATTATTATTTCCAACGTGTATATACGCATATTACGTGTTACGAATATTGATTTATTTGTCGGTATCATGATATTTGTATGTAAAAGACATCACGATCGAGAGTTGTGGAAAATGTCGCGATCGTGTCGTGCGATTCTTAAATTGGAGACGGTATGGAATAGGTCGACGAACTCTCAAAGTAGAAAGTCTTGAAAATGTCAGGGCAAGTACGGGGAAAGTGATGGTGGTTATTCGAAGTATGTTCTTTTCTCCTTCTCCTTTATTACCTCCCTTTCTCTTTCTCTATTTATTTATCCGTATATTTTATTTATTTCTTTTTTTTTTTTTTATTTTCGATAGAACAATGGTATTTGACAAGAGTTTATAATAAATCGAAATAAAATGTATAACAAATAAATACAAACGCAATAAGACAAATTAAACCCTTTTAACAATTTCATATTAAATTACATAACGACTCGATAAATAAATGAATAAGAGATCATTAAAAAGAAAGAAGGAATTTATCGAAGTGTCTTTACCACTCGTTAAAGTCTCCGCTGAAGAACTCGCATATTTCTTCGATCATACATTCGAGATGATATTTCAATTCTTTTAATTTATGAAGATAACAAGTTCAAAATAGTGAAAGTTCAAAAATTGGTTTAAATGTTCACAATCATTATTTTCTTTTTATTTTTTCTTTTTCTTTTTTTTCAAAGAAGTTGAAGTTTTTAAATACAATGGAATGACACGAAGTGGATGAAAATATCGATAGAGTATAATGACAATCGTTATGGGGTACTCACCGGCGAATAAACAGAGGGTTCCTAACAGGAATATCAACCTCGGCGACATTGTTGATTGTCGTTGTCGTCGTGGTCGTCCTAGTCGTCGTGTCGTCGTCGTCCTAGTCGTCGTCAGGATGGAAAGTGTCTGAACAAGCCGCGCCCTCTCGCCCTTCTATATATGCACCACCACTCCTTCCTTCTTCTTTGTAAGAACTTTCACCTTCCGGATCGTGCTGCCACCTTCGTTCTAGCATTCGAGAAATATAGGATACTTGGCTTACGTTTTATGTATGGTACTCTTCCTTGGAAGAATTTTATGTCCAAGTCATGAACAACCGATCCTACATACAATCAACATTTTTGATAATTATTTTATAAAGAAAATAATTTTTAGAAGTTTACGTTTAAAAATATCTGAAAGTACATTGTCCAGTGTTGATGATGGTTCATCGACGAATGCAAAAAAATTCGGAAAGATTCTGAGTCTTCTGTCTAAAATTAAAACAAGGTCATCATCATTGGCTTCTGCTTATTAATATTAAACATCAACTTATTTTCTAGATAGTTCGACAATATTATAAACTATATTTTAATGTATTTTAAAATAGTTTCGTATATTAAAGAATTTACCTTTCATTTTGAGGTTTAGAAAATGGTTTGATACAAATGTAATTACAAATGTCCGATCTAGCTGTAATGTTCTGTAAAAACATAGCAAAACGTACGAATAGAAAATAACATATTTGTGATTTTATTTTACTGAATTTTTGGATACATTGAATTGTAATCGTTAATGTCAAATATATCGTATCGAATTGGCAATATTTAGTTCATCGAAAGGTAGATAATCGTTTCTTCTTCACACTTGAAAGATCTTATCGATACACAGCAGAGTCCACTCGCAAAAGAAACCACAATATAAGCGTATGTGTTGGAATCGGTTTCATTATCGAGGTCATATCCAATTGACAAAGGCCGTGTCTTTTGGCTGCCATATGGATGAACGTTTTATATTGTACGTCAGACAAATTTCACTAAATTTATTCAATTATACAAAAAAAGTCCAAACAATTTAAATTAAGAAACAAAGTAAACGAAGTACTTTTTTTTATTAAAAGTTCACTTTTTTGAAGTTTATGAGATTAATCAAAAAGCGTAGATTCAATATCACCAAATGAAAAATTTCCGGAAGTCTTGGTTAAAGGAAATGACGTTCATATAACGCATTATTGAGGTACATACGATCAAGCAGTCTATAAATTTACAGTTTACACGATAAAGGTCATCGTTGTCGGCAATGGTATGTCTCGAAAGGCAACGTATTTTCAACGTTTGTTAATCGAGACAGCTGTTTTCTCTTACATCGAATTTTCGAATAAAGAATTCATGATCTTTGCATATTTCTGTTGGACAACATTGAAATTTGTGATTAAGACATTTAAACATGTTCAATTTGTCATTGAATATTGTTCAATTAAATAGTTATTTATAAAGTTTACAGGGAGTTACGTTAACAGCAATGACAATTTTTATAAAATTGAGTTGTGTGTTAGAAAAAAATGTATACATAGTGATCGAGTTGAGTTTACGGTGACTTATTTCCTGATAATTATCATCTGGTAATGTACTGTAACACGATATACTCGTATGTTCATTAACTCGATATGTTCATTGTTAAACTAGAAACACCATGTTTGTCTTTATTTCTCTTTCAATATATTCTACAAGAGTATCTAAAAGAAAAACAATGTAAGAACGCGGAAGATTCATGAAAGGAAATTCATATGAATCTAGTGAATTGTCAGAAATCATAGTATCATTTTAAATAATTCATTTGATCGGCACAATAAATGTTAAACGTGACTTAAATGAAAAGGATAAGTGTAGGAGGTACCAATGGGCACACACGGTTCCATAAGGATCCAACTTTGAGGCATTTCTAAACGCGTGTCGTGGAGTCCTTGGAGCGATGCACGCGTCGAGATGCCAATGGGGGCACACGTTCACCGGTGTACCATACAATAAACACCAAGAGAGAAATAGAAAACCAGTTTTCGCAGAGTACGAGTAGTATAGTCAGTGATTTGTGTGTAGTCTTTCTCTCGTTTTCTCTCAGCCAGCATCTTTCTTCTATCATTTTTTATTTGGCTCTTCTTTTTCTTTTATTATATCTTCATTTCATTATCCAAGATTCGTCTCCATTTCTCTTTCTTTTGACCTATGTTGAAAGAGATAGACATAAGGGGACAAACACCGTCGAAAATCACGCTAGTCGAGAAAGTATAGTGAAACCTTGATCAAAACGTTCAGTGAATTCTTATTAACCAATTTTTATTTTCTGTCTCTCCTATAGAGTAGAGTCTTTGAAGATTTCCTTAGAATTCAACTTTTTCTTTTATCTTATTTTTTTTTTATTATACTATTGCGTATCTGCTGTTGAATTTGTTGTTGTTCAATCTTTTAAAGTTAATTTCGAAAATTAAAAGAGTGTATTATTACAAATATATTACACAATATTTATAAAACCGGTATCACACGAGAGAGTTTCATTTGAACATGTCTAAAATATATTTGTATTCTATAAAAATCAATCGTACATCGATATAGTATTTTATTTCATTGTATGTTTTATCAAAAAAGGAGAGGTCCTTGTGGTATTCGTAACTATGGGTACTTCCCTTTTTTAAAAGTCACGAGATGCGAGCTCATGAGCTTTGGTTAAAGAGCACGGCCGATGAGCCATTACGAAATACGGATTAAATCCTGTGGATCACGAGGATATGTTGGTATCTCGTCTAGGACAACGGCGACGGTGTAAGATAGTCTCTTACGTGTATAGGATAAATGTCAATTGGCAGTTGGCATTTTAAAATGGTGTCTACTTCATCTTTGCAAGCGCCATCATGGTTCAATACTATAAGTTCCTTTTATTCCATATTATTAAGATGAAACTTTTTTTAAACATATTTGTTAGACATTTTTGTTTTCTTTTGTTTTGTTTGCTCAATTATTTTCATTGATTTTCTTACAATATCTATCAGATAATCTTTAGAATAATAGAGAAAGTTATATTTCAGATTTATTAATTGACAATCGATGCTGTGTTCAAATAATTCTCGATTTCGGGTAGTCTTTTCGAACGTGCCTTGGTGTAAAAAGTTTCTAGCTCGAATTTTGAATAAACACAAAAAGTTAGTATAGACAATGACCTGTACACGGTCAAGGTGAAAATCATGTTGATGACATTGCACGTCGGTCATAACGAATGAGTTCTCTTCTTTTGTCGCGTGACTCGAATAAAATTGATTCATTTCATCACTCTAACAACGATCTGACCCGTTTACCACCTGGCCTTTCTTGAGATTTTCTCGATCGTACGAGAACGAATCGAAATGCCGAGGCTTCTTCGATGACGCGAATGATATTTCGAGAAACAAAGACGGTGAAAAAGAAAAGGAATAAATAGAAAAGAAGAAGACTAGAGGCATATCTTCTATATATTTGTCCAAACCTGAAAAAGCAGTTATGAAAAGTGGTGACCACAAAATAAGCAGGTAGTTTTAGGGCGTGCCACAGAAATAAATAAAACTTCGTTACATTCTTGATGCATGTATAATATAATACTAATGTGTAAGTAGGCGAGTATAATTATGCACATCTCGTATTTCGAAACTTACCTCTTTCTCGCCGACACAACGTTTGTATATAGAGTGTAACGAAAAAAATCGTGGGCTGCTTACGTACATTTTCATTGTTTTATCTGCACATAAACATCGATCAACTTTGGTAACATTGTATCTTTCTTTTCTTTTCTTTACTTTTCTCTTTTTTTTTTTTTTTACAGTTTGATAGGTACGTATACGATTTCGGAAGAATTCATTTTAGCGAAACAACGTTAAAATAAATGTACTCTCGTGAATTTGTTTTCACTGGAAATCAGTGAATCATAGTTTGGAATGTTGCTATTGTTTTATTATTATACTTTTAACTGATAAAAAATCAATTTATAATATATAATTATGTATCGATTTAATTATTGTAATTATATTATACATTGATTACTATAATTTGAGTATTAAATTAATGCATACAAGTTTTAATGCAATCGGTGTAATTTTTTAAGTATCTTTTTTTTATCTGTGAAATTTCGTAAATTCGTGTTTAAGGTAAAAATACGTTTATGGTATCACTCCGAGGTGATTGTGTGAACATATATTTGTATTTTATATTTTTCAAAGTATGCATAATTAATTATTTTTCTTGGCAAAAGTTCATTTATTCTTATTTTGATATATTTAAGGGGGTTTGCGTTTAAATTGATTTAAAAATATTGCTAAATGTTGATAAGTTGTATATTTTGTCATATTTTCAACAGACTGTATATGAAACGATGAGTATTCGATTATTCTTACTTGTGGCCACTTTCTCGAGCATTTGTTCGATTCGCATGGACTTCCAAGCTTGGAAAAAGTCTGAAAGTAGTCTTTTGCATTTTGAGAGAGTGCGAGTTGCTACTTCGGCTCTGCAGATTTTCTGATAATTGAAAGAGAAACTCAATTATGATGAGTATGGAGATCCGTCGAGTAGTAAAGCGTGTCGATGGAATTAAATGCCTCCTATCTTGTACTTACCTAGTTCGCGATTAGTCTTGTATCGAATTACCGTAGTTGAGTTAACCGTCGTGTTACGGCATGCCATCATTGCTGAGAAGAAAGGTGGTTTACCTTGCAGAATCAGCCTTCCGTTGTTTCGATGTTAAAGCAACAAGGAAAAATACTTTATTTTTTTCCCCATTATTTTTTTTTTTATTGCCCATTCAAAATGTTATACCAATTTAAAAAAAATTCCTATCAATTAGACGTACTTTTTTGTAAGGTTTGAATAAAATAAAACAAGAAAATTCAAAAAGAAACATATTTAAGAAATAAGAAGTAAGAATATGTCATTGACAAATTCATTTCTTCAATATTCGTTCAAAATTGTTGATTAATTATTTTTATTGAAAATTCGTTTATATTTTTTTTTTTATAAACGATATTTATATTAATGAAAATTATAATATAATCGTTTATTTTTAATCTAGCAAAAACAATAATCTCGTCATTATAAGGTTTAATATTAAATAAACTGTATAA